AAAAAAAAAAAAAGGATTAAATGGCAAAATGAGCAGGAAGTTCCCCGACGCTCAATGATTGGGAATGAAAAGTTTAAAAGACCTAAAAAGCAAAGACAAACTATGCATTAGTAGGGCATTGTAGCATGAGAGAAGCACTTCATTATTGTTCATTTCATTACATAAGAGGTGGTGAAGAGGAAGTGAAATGTGAACGTGTATCATAATAAAGGCTGTGATGGAAGTGACGAATAAAATCAAAATGGTGCCTCACTCCTCTTGTTTGCAGGGATTCGCAGCATTCATCAACGAAAGAGGTGAGCCCATCCAACAATCATCCAAACCACTTCCTTAAAAAACAAAAAAAAGCTTCCTGTTTTTTCGGCACGCCGCTGCTCGTGTTTTATTTTCACTTCAGTTTGGGTAGATGACCGATATCGAAAAACGAGAGTATAAGACCCATATACGCGCAACTAAGACATATCTGTCCTCTTGTGGCGACTGGTGATGTTACAACTTAAAACTCCAATCGACCCCTGGATAATCTCATTTTGGCACCCGTGGAATCGTTTTTTATTGGATCCATTTTGTGAACTGCTTATCCTTACGAGGGTCACTGGGCATGCTTGGGAGTCTGTCCCAGCCGTCGTCCTCTGCTATATAGGCAGGGGATACCTTGAACTGGTTGCCAGCCAATTGCAGGGGACAAATAGACAAACAACTATTCACATGGATAATTTAGTGTTCAATCAACCTACCTATATCATCACAAATATTTCATTTTGTCAAAAATTATACTGTTGGTCTGTCCCCATGTTTTCTTATTTGCTGTTGTTTACTGCATTGCTAATTTGGAAAAAGTTTTCAAATATTTAAGTCAAAATTCTTAAACTGTTGGAATTCGAGGATAAAGTAAAATTTAAAGGAAAAACTATTTTAGAAGAATAATCATGAGGAAAGCATAAAATATTATAAAAACCGTTATGGAATATTACATAGTAATATTACATTAATACATTGAATATCTTTTCACTGTACCCTTAATATGTAGTCATATTACAATGCATATTTCAAAATAAGTCATTTAGAGGAAAAGGAAGTATGTTACAAGGATAAAGAGCTAAATTCTCAGGAGAGAAAAAAAATTAGGCCATAGTTTACAATTTTTTTTTTTCAACATAACTTCACGAGGATAGAACCAAATTTACTTGGCAGAGAAAAAAAATGTATGATGGAAACAATTAGAAAAGACAGTAGCGATTGTATCCCACAGAATGGATTGTTTATTCGTCTGTGCATGTCATATATACATCAGATACAATAGCAGCTTCTTCGGGAATGTACACAGGGGCATGAGCACAAAAAAAACATCCCTCTATTGTGATTTCCTTTAAAAACAGTAAGATGACTCAACATTTTAGGATAAAATGCTTTAAAATTGGTAGCCCGCACACCGTAGGGAGGTAGACAAAGAGGAAATAACTGTCTACAATCTGTCCTTTGACCTGTTTGTATTCATTGGCATTGCGTTGAGCTAGTAGAGTCATGCATTCGGGCATTATTGGGATTCTGAATTAAGGATAAAGAGCTAAATTCTCAGGAGAGAAAAAAAATTAGGCCATAGTTTACAATTTTTTTTTTTCAACATAACTTCACGAGGATAGAACCAAATTTACTTGGCAGAGAAAAAAAATGTATGATGGAAACAATTAGAAAAGACAGTAGCGATTGTATCCCACAGAATGGATTGTTTATTCGTCTGTGCACGTCATATATACATCAGATACAATAGCAGCTTCTTCGGGAATGTACACAGGGGCATGAGCACAAAAAAAACATCCCTCTATTGTGATTTCCTTTAAAAACAGTAAGATGACTCAACATTTTAGGATAAAATGCTTTAAAATTGGTAGCCCGCACACCGTAGGGAGGTAGACAAAGAGGAAATAACTGTCTACAATCTGTCCTTTGACCTGTTTGTATTCATTGGCATTGCGTTGAGCTAGTAGAGTCATGCATTCAAGAGCTACTGCACACACACATTTTACAATTTTATTTTCTCAAGACGCACAACAAATGGACACGTGCACGTGACAATGATCGGAAATGACACAATTTACATACTTCCACCTTAAATTAAAATTCATCTGCGACACCTACTGAAGTATTTGTAGTATAACTTTGTATTTTTTTTCCTCACAACATGGGCTCATTGCGGCCATGACAGCAGAGAGTTGGTGAAGGTCTTAGACGGAAGGTGGGATAAGGTTAGCAAAGCCCCCCCTCGTACTCATCCTCATCCTCATCTGCAGCGGCCGTGTCTCCGCTGGCGCCCCCTGGTGCAGCGGCCTTCTTCTTCTTTCCTCCTCCGCCTGGCACCCGCAGCGAGATGGCCAGCTTGGCGTACTGCACGCCGCAAACACAATGTAATATACAACAACAATTACAACATTGCCATCTAAAGATTGTCAGCTTTTGTTCAAATGCCCTACTTGGCTGGCAACCAGTTCAGGAAGCTGGGTTAGGCTCCAGCACACCCGCGATCCTCGTCCGGATAAGCGGATTAGAAAGTGGATGGATGGATATATTTTATATATCTAGTTTATTTTGCTGAGGATAAAGAATACACCAGTATTATTTTGTCAGTCTGCATGTGTTGCTGCACCGTTTGTGTTCAAATGTTAACCGATGCTACTAGGTAGCCTGTCTCATTTACATTGTGTCTTCGCTTTTTACCGTCTTGGTTATTAATTTATTGTTTTATATTCAGATTAATTATCTTTGCTCCGTGCGCAGCACTTTGTATAAGAGCGTTGGTTGTTTTAAAGTACGCTACAAATAGAACTGAGTTGAGTTGACCATGAAGCTAGCAGACTTCGGTTGTTTTGAATCAACAACATGGGATTCTCTTGGAATCGTGCTTATTTTGTCAGTTCTTACTTTTTGCTACAACTGATGCAAAGCTACCCACTGGAACCGCGGATGCGTTGGTGAATGTCGGTGAACTGATGCGTGGCGTAAAACTGCGGTACTCACGTCGTTATCCATGTACTTGAGCAGAGGGGAGTTGCACACCCGGTACACTTGATCCTCATCCTGCTCGTCGTAGCCTTGCAGCAGTGTCTCCATGGCGACACAGTCCTCACTGCCGCTGTAACCTGGCAGGCTTCGCACCATAAAAAAAAAAAAAAAACTTTCAACGGGACATATTACACAAAAAAAAAAAACAACAATTTAACAGCTTCTATTCAATTAGTTGGCTCTCTAATGCCCGCTCACCAAGAGGACTACGCGTGGGCACTGTCATCACGAAATCAAAAGGTAAGCAGAGCCGCAATGTTGTCGGATGTGCGCATTGTCTTCCCTCAAAAGTGAGAGATTTCAACTAGAGAGTGGATGTTAAACGTGATGTGGTTGTGACGTTGCTTCCCACCTGTAGCTCTCTCTGACGCACTTGTCCGCCGCAACATAGTCGCCTCGGTGAAGGTGGATCAGCACCTGGGCCGTCGTTTTCTGAACAAAAACACCAATCGTTCAGCTGGTGATGATATTTTATACATTATTTTAACCTTCTTTTGCTGTTCTGTTCATATGTTAGTTGATTGCGTCACTTTGTGGAGGGGAGACTAAATAAAAAGAATGAGCATGACAAAGAATGCTACTGAAATGATCATTTTTTTCTACTTAAAAAAAATATTTAAATGAAATGCATGCAATGCCAATGTCGTATTATTAAATTGGACCTTGGCCGAAGTCTGCCCTCCAAAAACGTGACACCTTTTTTGGGGGGGGGGAAGAAGAAAACTGACCTTGAAACACATTGAAAAGTTCTCAATCTCCTTGTACATGTTCTTCTCTTTCTGCAGCGCCACGGCGGCCTCATCCAACCTTTGTGCACACGCGTACGGAAACTTTGGACGATTCCATGACCAAGGAAGACGAAAGATACGGAGCTGCCACTCTTTACCTTTTTAACCGCACCAGCAGCCTGGAAGCTTTGCCCAGCAATTCCACAGCCTGACGCAGACGGTCCTCATTCTACAGCAGGCATGCGACACAATTAAATAGCAATTAAAACTCATAATAACAAGATGATAATAATAAGAAAAATAATACGGGAGCTTCTTATCGATACCTCAAACACACCAGCGGCCTTCTGGTACAAGTCCACCGCTTTCTCCAGGTTGAGAGGCTCGATCAGCCTGCGCAAATAAAAGGTGCACGGGAGATGGCGCTGTATTAAAATCTTGCTCACAGGACACTTCATTTGGTACATCTGCGGATTCTAATTACAATAATAATGATTTGAAAAAGTGACTTTTTAGTAGCTCGTAAACAAATACTAGGGCCTGCGGAATGCCTGACTCAGAGCCCCTCAAATCAAGCATGGGATTAAACAACCAGGTAAATATTTTTTTAGAAATAGTTAGATTCAGACAAAGTTTCTGTTGTTGTTTTAGTGCGTTTCATACTGACTTCCCAGCGCGGTCCAGCGCCATGGCGGCGGTGTCAGGCGTCCCGTTCTCCATGTACATCATGCACGCCTTCTCGATGTACTGGATGGCCTCTGGCATCTTCTTCTGCTCTTTCATCATCATTCCCGCTTGTTCGATCGCCCTGCGGAATAGAGACGAACACATGAAAAAAAAGCACGAAACTGCCTCGTGTGTTCTGAAAGGATAAGGAGGCACTCACTTGGCAGCGTGGAAAAGCCTGCACCGGACAAGTTAAGGAAAGAAAACAAATACAAGTGGGGTAAATGAGTGAAGAAAAGGAATGAGTTAAGGATACGTTTTGTTCTCCGTGGGACAAGTTAAGGAAAGAAAACAAATACAAGTGGGGAAAATGAGTGAAGAAAAATGAGTTAAGGATACGTTTTGTTCTCCGTATGATACTCGGCTTCCTTCAGGTAAGCATCCTTGGCTTGCTCGTACTGCTTGGCGTTCTTGAAGCACACGGCTGGAAGGAAATGAGGCAATATTTAAACGGGGTTTATTCCCAAAATCAGGCCCAATTGGTACATTTTTCCTTGCTTGCGATCCATGTCAACTAAGAATTGTCAAATGCATCTAAAAGATTTGCCCATTTGATAATTCTGTGGTGTGGAGTATTATGTGGTATTTTTCCTTCCTGACTTGATCAGGGTCGACCGTGAATGCCTCAAAATTTTCCTCATCGGGCCTCATACATTAAAAAACCGCGAATATCCAGGGGTGCCACTGTTGCTGTGTTTTTCAACAGGAGTACATTACAGAGCACTAAGAATAGACGCGTTCCTTTATGCGTGGTCACTCGTTTGTATTCGACACTGTAGTAAAAATCAGTGTGCTTGTACCCCGATGTACTGCCTCCCCCCCAATCATTACCTGCTTTAGCGTATTCTGAGGCAGCACTGTCAAAATCCGGCTTCCACTTTGTCAGGCTTGTCTTTAAGCTGCAATAAATCACAACATTTAAAAAAAAACAATCCATCGCACGCATTCATCTGTCGCATGAAACCACAACAGTGGCCCTTTAGCCCCCACCCGCTAGCAACAAACGTTATTTTAAAGACAGCGTAGCGAAGAGCGATTACCATTTCTCAGCTTTGGCTATGTGCTCGTGGGCTTCGTTTATTTTCTGGGCAGCCATGCTGTCGTTAAGCGCCTCTGTGAAAGACTTTCGGTGATGGTTCGAGTATTCGGAGACGGTCAGTCGTCGTTGTTTGGATGAGCTGAGACCACTCCGGCATGACGTCACACATTTGCGCAGGCTACGGAAGATGCCGAGGGACAAAATAGAGCAGCTCGATGCCCTTGTCCAAAGGTGATTTATAATTAACACACGAAACCATGGCTAATTACTCTGAACCGAGAAAACCATAAAGTAATACTATATGACAGCACTCGCAATGTAAACAAGCTTTCCTGAAAAAGAATACATTGAATACAGTACTCAAAATTAAGTGCTTAAGTACGTGTTTGTATTTTTTAACTCGCCTCATCCTAATTCGATGATTGCTCTTCCTACGCATGTCCAATAAAAATGATGGATGATGTTTAAATGTGTAACTAAATTTAATTAAAATTACTTTTAAGCGTACTTGATTTCCTTGAAATGCGTTTTTAGAAAATATTTAATTATGATTTTTGTACATTTCCGACGGAACCGGAAATAGTTTGGAAAATCGAGTGACGTCACCGTACTTCGGCGTTACATGGCTGGACAACAACAATCCTCGGCGCAAATTGAAGTTGCCCATATTTCCCAGGGAACTAACCGAAGTTACGATTAATAAAAAGTTTCAGAGTTGTGTTTTTTCAACTTTTAATCACAAATGTGGATCCGCTGATGGATCCACGATATGACATTCCGCGGAGGGCCGGCGGCGTCAGCGGCGGGAACTCGTCGAACTTGTCGCCTGCTTTGGGGGTTCAGTCTCGCCGCAGGAAGACGCCGCCCAGGCCCGCTGACTTTAAGCTTCAAATCATCATTATCGGCTCTCGCGGCGTGGGTAAAACCAGCCTAATGGAGCGATACACCGACGACACCTTCAGCGAGGCCTGCAAGTCCACCGTAGGTGAGCGGCGAAAAAAAAGAAGTCACCGTCTTTGGGTGTCCTGTTTTTGAATCACGATTTACAATCGTAGAACTTTTGTCTATTGGAGTAGACTATAAGCCGGGCTCCGTCTATTATAAGTAGCGAGGATCTCCCGTAAGTTTGTGATTTTCTCTTTCTTGGGGGAACAAAGGGCTGTCGAAATAAATCTTTACATTCTATCATTCAAATATTGAACATAATGTGAGCCAATTGTGTTATGTTTGCATCTCTTAGTTAGCCAACCAAGGCTAACTAACAATAGTGCTAATCTTGCTTGCAAAATATTCGAACAAAACACAGCCAAAATTGTTTTTACTTCCGATAATATTCTGGATCTGTGTGGTTGTGGTCTATTATCTCCGACTCCCTCGGGTTAAAGTTTCACGTGACTTGCTGAATGTTTAATCATAATTTAATAATAACAGAATAAAGATGTATGAACGTGGCCAGCAGAAGACGTTATATCCATAAGGTTCTCTGCCTGAATTAAAGCACGTCTCTCGGAGTGTACTTATCTTATAAAGCTAAGTGAGAAATGTTTTTATAATGTTACATTTATTGCTTATGATGAGTGACCGACCGCTATTTTAAAGTATAATTATTACCCTCCGCGAAGGTGTTTTTGAATGTTGTAATGTAGATGTTGACAGTCAGATTTTCTGTTCCTGGTTTGTTGTTTTGAGCCAAACAGCTCAGCACTCAGTCATCAGGGTCTAATCCAAAAATAGTCCCCCGTATGCAGACAGCTGCCATCATGACGGAGCTCCATTTCTGCCATGGCATTCTGTTCCACTCACCCGGAATCAATACAATGGATTGTAATCATCATAAAACTGCAGTGCCTTGACTTACGAGTTTAACTTGTTCCCTGACCATTCTGGTCACCCAAAACACTTGTTTCTGAAATCATATTTCCCAATGAAATAAATGGAATAGCCAAGAATCCTCTCCAGCCCTTGTATCCCAATTGGTATGCGCCCTGGCCGCTTTGGGGCAGTATAAGACAGTCACACGGACACAAACGACACCAAAGTTGCGTGACTGTACTTGTAAATTCAAAGTCAAGATAACACCTGTAAATTCTGTTTTTCCTTCCGCCTAGGAGTTGATTTCAAAATCAAGACGGTGGAGCTGAGGGGGAAGAAGATCCGGCTGCAGATCTGGTAAGCACAAGTTGTTAAACGCCATCAGTCTTGTGCATGTTTTATCTGTGTCACATGCTCTATCACTTCACTACTGCTTCCTAGTCATGGAAGGTGTCCATTAATGTCGTTTTATTAATAGATGTAATGTCTAAATCACAAGGAGACAACACAGGAAAGATGTATCACAAGATTGCCTTCCATATACAGTGGTGTCTTGAGTTGTGAGTGACGCGACTTATATTTTAAAAAAAAAAAAAAAAATAGTGTTGCCTTCGGAAAGTCTGTTTACGAAAGTTTTGAGTTACAAGCATGGTCGCAGAAGAAATTCAGCTCTTATCTCAGGGCACCACTACCCGACTCTTTCATTGTGACTACTTACCCAATCTCCAATTTTTTTGAGTGCACTTGATGTTGCATGTGTTGCCGGTGCCACCCTCGCTTGTGTCATTAACACATCTTTTCCTGTCAGCTAACACCCACCCCAGCACCATGTGTGTTTTGTCATGTTGAACAGCTTCCATCACAGCCACGCCTCTCACCACCATCGTTATGGGATGGCGACGCCATCTAGTATGTCTGCCCTCACTGTGACTCAGGGTGTGCCACAGGTACAGTCACGCTTGTAGGCCATGCCATCAGATGTGTCGCAACTTTGAAGGGGTCATATTATTGAATATGTCGTTTTTAACGAATAATATCTGGTCCCACAAGTGTGAAATTTGAATCTTACATTTTTAAAAGTGCGTCTGTGACTGCGCTGTTTTGCACAAGTGCCCAACTGCTGCATCACAGCGGGGACTAATGTGGTACCCGTTCGGGTATTTTGACAGGCAGGTCACAGACATGTTATCAAAACAGTTTGGAACTGTTTTAGCACCCTGTGACCTGATAACATGACAAGCTGTCCACTGTAGTGACCGCTGTCCCCGAAAGGATTAAATTGGGAAAAATGACATCATACGTCTCCTTTAAAAAGTCCACACTTTGAGTGGAAGCTTGATTGACAAAGATGCCGTGCGGCTGTCAACGCAGTGTAGCTAATAGATTTCGCATGGCCGTTTGAAAGCGCTCCTTCTTGATGACTCAATTTCCGTGTCACTGTGAAAGGGACACAGCTGGCCAGGAGCGCTTCAACAGCATCACGTCGGCGTACTACCGCGGCGCCAAGGGAATCGTGCTGGTCTACGACATCACCAAGCAGGAGACCTTTGACGACCTTCCCAAGTGGATGAAGATGATTGACAAGGTCGCCCATTGCACTTCCCACTTCATGAGCAGTACCCAACTTACGTACCACTAGAAATTTACTGGAAGTGTTGTGTAATTTATAGAGACATGCAGTTCATGGGAACCTTTTTGTATGGTCCTAATCAATTATCATAATGAAGCATAACACCAAGTCTTTCAAATTTAAATGTTCAAAAAAGTCTTATTAGCAGTTAATAATGATAATAATAAAAATAAATCAAGTTAAGTAATAATTTAATTACCATCACAATTGAACAAGATGAAGAACATTTGCAGTTTATTAAAAGTAAAAAAATATCAGAAAAACATTCGTATGTATAGAAAGCAGTTTGAAAAAAAAAACATAACCCAACTAATTAAATTAACGATACTTAGTCAAATATTAGAAAGGGCTCTCCTTGCACAACAACGTCAATGAAATAAACTTCTCAATGAATACCCTTTTATGAGCGGGGTCAAACAAACCCGACTCCATTATTGTGTTTGTAAATGCAGAACTTTTCTCTTGGGTCTCATTAGATAGTCATGTGTGTCCTGAAATGGAAAAAAAATATATTAGAAATAATTTCTCTTCTTTGCCTTGGACTTCAGTATGCCTCTGAGGAGGCGGAGCTCCTCCTGGTGGGCAACAAGATGGACTGCGAGAGCGATCGCGTCATCTCCAGGCAACAAGGAGAGAGAGTGAGTGTTTAGGAGCGACCTCGTGTCCCTTTCATTAAACAAAATAATAATAAATAAATTAAGGAACACTTATGCTATTCGAATGCGCGTGTTTATGTGTATGCCACAGTTTTGCTCTCGGATAAGCGGCATGCGTTTCTGCGAGACAAGCGCCAAGGACAACTGCAACGTAGATGAGATTTTCCTGAAGCTCGTGGATGACATTCTCAGCAAGGTGGGTAGATGTCATGATGAGTTACCCAAAGGCAAGACGACTTGAGCCTCGGAGAACTCCAGTGGGATAACTTAATTTCTGTCATTTTGCAATGCTTGTTTTTACAGAAATTGGTTCGACGCAGTTTTTAGTTTATTCCTAACAGCCGACAAATCTATCAATATTTCACCAAAGATGAGAAATAACCTCCACTTGGACTAACATGCTGACGCACTAGCACTCAAGCTCAAGCACTACCTTTTGGTACTCTCTGAATCTTTTATCAATCTCGGAATCTCACTGGCTTGGGCTGTTTGTGGAAGGTCAAACAGCTTTGTTTTGTGGGAAAAGCCAATTGTTGCACTGTTTGTTCAAAAACACAAACCACGCTTAACCCACCATTGCTTGCTTCTGCTTGTGTGCTTTGACGATTCTCCTGCATTTTTACGTCACTCCAGATGCCGCTTGAGGTTCCCAACAAGGAGCTCTCTGGCAGCTTGCTGTCCCTGCAGCCTGAACCCGAAGTGCCTCCAGAGTTGCCCCCACCTCGCGTGCGCTGCTGCTGAGACCCCCAGCGTCCCGCGCCAAACCTTAGGCACCAACCAGTCAACATCCTTCAGCTCGCATGTGCAGTGTGCCAAACTGACCACAAGGGGGCGGTAGCGATTTGGAAATTCCAACTTCATCGCTCACATCCTTCCACCTTCACTTGGACTACCTCACCAGCTGTGCACTCACGTGCACACGTGCCTTTGAGGTAGGGAAACCCCGCAGAACCCCTATTTTATTTAGGAATCATTTTCGTACTAATTCAGCTCGACAAAAGCACACTTTATGATGTTTTGTTTTGTTGTTGTATTTTTTTGTTAATGCTGTAATGATGATAAAGTAGCAAGTAGGTGGTTGATATTCCAATAGTGTTAGATGGCCAGAATGTTCCGGAATGTGTTTGGAAATGAAGCTGACAGGCAAAAGTTGACGGTTATGACAGAAATCAGTTTATGCCACAGAGACGAGCAGTTTTACAGTGAGGGGTAACCCCGCTGTGTTTTTGCCTACCCCAGTATAACTGCACATTAAAAAAAAAGAAAAAAATCAACGCACATAATATTTTTTTTCACATTTGGGGCCTTTTGTTACAAAACACTATTTGCGATTGTCGGGATCTCAAGTGTGTGGTTCAAATCAAGTTGGGCCGAACCACGCACTCTAATGTGTGTGGTGTGCAGTGTTGGGCATCTCAAGTACACTACGCGCTGTAAGAGTCTGAAACACACGCCCTGATTTATATATATATTTTTCATTGTCTACGTTTTTTTTTGTTTTGTTTTAAAAATAGGAATGTGTATGTGCGTTAGCACTGCGAGTTCTATCATCCATTTCACTACAAAATGATCTGTTTTCATTTTTGTATCGGTTACCTTTAAGAACGCTTCCAAGCATTTTTGCCGTTAACCCTTATACCGCTCTCTTATACCGTTTTTTTTCCCCTTCCTCTACTAAGTTTAAGATATCTCCAAGAGATTCGGGCTTCTCACTTCAATTTGTATTTCTTGCTATTTATAACTATTGTGGCATTTTTGGACTAATGAAATTAAAGATGTCTATATTTATTACCAGATTCACGTGGTCTCCATTGCTTTTGCCAAATATTGCTTCCTCCGTGTTGCGTCTTCCTTTCAGCATGCGAGTGTTCCTGTTGATAATCGTTTTTTTTTTTTTTTGTCTGCATGCTAACTTGTTTCTCTTGCTCTTGCCTGCAGGTGTGCAGACAACAACAGTGCCTCACCAATTATTGCTGTCGTTTATCATCCGTTTACTGCAGCAATAAAGCAAGTGTCGTGTTGATTAAGATTAACTGACGTGTCGACAAACCACATTAGTTGCACTAGCTCAATCGAAAAGAGATTTGATATCAGGTGTGTTTCCGAAATTCTCCCTTTACAAAAATAAGTGTTTTTTTATTGTATCATAATCCATCTATTTAGTGGGTGTCATTCTATAGTGCTGCTTCCCAATGAGCTGTCCTTAAAATTATATTTAATAATTCTTATCTGATTCAGTCGGAACTGAAGATGGCACAGCGAGAGTGGCTGCCTTTACAGCAGCTCCTATATTTTGTTCTTCTACTTCTTCCTTTAATAACTTTGCTGCTGTGAATTGGGAATTTCTCCAATGTGAGACTAATAAAGATTTTCTTATCTTAAAGTTGTTGATACAGATCTTGGATACACTAGTACAGTTCAGTGACATACCCTCTCTAAGTGTTTTTTTATTGTATCATAATCCATCTATTTGGTGGGTGTCGTTCTATAGTGCTGCTTCCCAATGAGCTATCCTTAAAATTATATTTAATAATACTTATCTGATTCAGTCGGAACTGAAGATGGCACAGCGAGAGTGGCTGCCTTTTCAGCCGCCCCTCTATTTTTTTTTTCTACTTCTTCCTTGAATAACTTTGCTGCTGTGAATTGGGAATTTCTCCAATGTGAGACTAATAAAGTTGTTGATACAGATCTTGGATACACTAGTACAGTTCAGTGACATACCCTCTCAAGAACCAAACAAAATTACTTTTGATTTAGTTGACCATGACCTCGATGACTGAAAATGTGAGGAATTTTTTTTTGTAAGGAGTCTATGACAACGATATGTTTTCATAAATGTGTCAAAGTTAAAAATGACTTAAGAAATTATGTTATTAGGCTAACGATATAGAAATTAAGTAGGAATGGGAAAATATGTATGATGAGTTTCGTTGTACCTGTAATAAGATGCATATGTACTTCAGGTGCCCGTTGAATGTTGAATGAGTCACATGGTTGAAGTGATCGATTTATGAATAATACACAGCTGAAATCCCGAGTGGACTGTGCATCAAGTGAACTGAGTATGCGTGTGCACGAGCGCCTGCCTTGCTTCCATCGAAAACCCACGAGGTAGGCGCGTGTGCGTGGCAACCCACGCATGCGCCCTGAAGCCAATCACGGGCGTCACACAACCGCAGCGATTGCGGATCTGACGCGTCGAATCACAACCGAGAAGTAGTAGCAGAGGACCCGAGGCAGAGGTGATTGAGATGGAGACCCGCAACCGAGAGAGAGCCCGAGTCTAGCTACGCCTCAGCCGCCAGCATGTCTGCCACCTGCCAGTCTCCTTCCCCCGCTAATCCGATATGACTGCAGTCGTCCTCCTCCGCGGGGACTACAATGACACCCTGGTGAGGGAGAGAGTGAGCGCACACTAGCAGCCGCGGTACAGCGCAGGATGCTCATCTCGAACCAGACCAAGAAGACGCTCCGCAACTGTTGTTCCCGTCCCGAGGTGCCGAGGATCGAGCGTTTCCTCCACCACCCTCCTCCTCGTCCTTTTCCTTCTCCTGTTGGTGTATGATGGAGACCTCCAATGGCTCTGCAGGCAGCGACACCAGACCGAGCCAGCCGGAGAAGAAGAGACCGAACCGAGTGCCCTCCCCGGCCAGACCTTTCCTGAAGGACGTGCATGCCCGCGCCGCGAAGCCGCCGGCCATCGGACCCAAATCGCCCAAACTCGGCAAGCAGCAGGCTCCGAACCGCGGCTCCAGGCGCAACATCACCGCGGCGAAAGAGAAGCCCGCCGCAGCCGCCAGGAGCAGCGCTAAGGCCGGACTGGCCAAAAAGCCCAGCAGGCTCCCCGGAGCCGAATTTAAAGCGACCAGCAGTCCGATCCTCGCCAAAGCCAAGAAAGGGAACCTCGTCCCAGCGTGCCCCGGCCATGGCTCCCCAGTCCGGGTACCGACCGGTCTGGTTGGCCAGACCGACAGCAGTTCGGACCTGTCGGACTGCCCGTCCGAGCTGGCGCCGGTGGCCAGCAGCGACGCCGAGTCCGGTACAGGCTCCAGCGATAAGGATCACCCGGGGGCAGAGCGTCCGTTACGGACCGAACCACCTGCGACGGCGGCTACTCTGGTGCTTAATCCCGCCGCTAAGGCAACGATGTGTGTGGTCCGGACCGGTCCGGAGAAGAAACCCAAAGGACCCGAAGAAGAACTGCTAAGGGAAATCGAGGATTTGAGATCTGAAAATGATTATTTAAAGGTAAGCGAGCGTGACTCTTTGCTTTATTTGAATCTTAATTGTCTGTAGCAGAGTTTCTGCACTCATCACTCGTGGGACACTTTATTAGGTACACCTGCCCTCATCTAATGAGACGAAAACAATGATAAATGCTCACTTTTGATTGACATGGTCAGACAGTTACGTGACCACAATCCACAAAATTGTGTGATAGGTTTTTTGTTTATCACCCTGCAAACAAGTGGCAATGAATGGTCACTTTTGATTGATGCTGTCAGAGGCATACGCATCAATATGCAAAGGTGTTGTATAAATATAAAGTTAGGAGCATGCTTATCGTTGGAATGGTAGTAAGCAAAAATATTAACAACAGTGCAACCATACTAATAACTGACCCCAAGACAGACTGAAGTCACCAATCAACTCCATGGTGTGACAAGTTTCAGTTTTTTACATTTTTATACAGTCTAATAACCATTTGTTAAGTTTTTGAAAGAAAATTTATTTCAAGCGTATCAAGTGTGCAAATCTGGCAACATACCAGTAAAAAGATTCGAGACATATGTCTCGGCTAATATTTGATACTTAATACAGTCAAACCTCGGTTTTCGAACATCTCTGTTCTCGACCAAAAATTTAGAGTTTTTATCCCTCGGATGAAGACCAAAAATCGGTTCTCGACCAAACTGAATGCACTTGAATGCGCCACTTGACTCCTCTCGCCTTCCGTACACAAGGAAGTAGCGTTCAATTGTGAGCAGACGTGTTCAATAAAGAGTTAATTTTTTTAAAAAAGAGTGTAGTTTCGGTTGTCCAACAGCCTTCTAAAACGGATTGTGGTCGAAAACCGAGGTATGGATGTACTTTTCAATCAAATGTCAGTATTCACCGCCATTTTTCTGTTTGCATTAGCAGCAATTAACACTCGAAGTGGGGGCTCATGGGTCAAGAGAGAGAGAAAAAAGAAAAAAAAAATCGATTGTTCCTCAGAAAATAATTCATGAATCTCAGTGGAAAAATTCAGACCTGCACAGTACAGCAGGGGTGTACCTTTGAAAATGTAAAATTTGGTTCTGACACAAATATAACAGTGTGTGTGTGTGTGTGTGTGTATTGGCCTTGGTGACAACATTGTGAGTGGTTAATCAGCTTTGCTCTCCGCATTAAAGCTGCCCGGTCCCTGAGGACTCGCGTGTCCCGTGTGTACTTGGGTTCAAGCGGCCTCCTGCGGGGCCAGCTGGTCCATCCCAACACGCACGCACGCGCACACGCACACGCACACACACACACACACACACACACACACACACACACACACACACACACACACACACACGACTCAAAGTGTGCATGAATGTCATTGATGAATCATCTCGCAAACACCAGTTTTACGCTCAGAGGCCTCAACAATACGTTACACTGCCCCATTCTCATCATCCCAAGAGCTGTTTCTAATATTTTGACGACTCCCATGTGGCTGACTCAGCACAATAATACGAATATATTGTTTTAAAAAAAGGGAATTTATTGGTTTAATAAGTGAATTTTATAGGTGTAAAATAGAAAATACAAGCCCTGGTTTGGATCATAGGGAATGTTTTATTTTAATCGTTATTAATCGTGCACAAGCATGTATTGTCATTCGCAGCCTGAAAATGCAGGACTCGATGTCAAGAAATTTTCGGGTAAAAGAAATTCTTTAAAACGATATAAAAATAATAAATGGTAAAATGTCATTCACAAGATTATTTGCTCTTTTGTTTGTTTGTCGTTTGTTGCAATACAGTATGTATGCATTAGCATGTAAAAAAAAATGTGTCCAACTTTAAATATTCTCCAACATCTACTGCTTAGCTTTCCGTCTATAATGAAACATTTTCCAGCCTTTTGCAATGTTGTGCAACTAACTTAAATTGTCCTCTGAAAGAAATCAAATTGATTATGCCACTGGAATTGATCTGAAAATGACGTATTCAGGACAAAACACATGAAGTGAGTGAATGCCTCACTTTATCTCCAATTAAGGATGTGTATCTCACTACTTTAAATAATGCACCATAAACCTTTGAATTTCGTGAGGAAGCTCACTGAATCAATAATGCTCGTTTCTCGGACAGCAGACTTATGTGCAAATGTGTTTTTGAATGAACTCCTCACTGTTCAAGCGAAAGTTGCCAGTTAGAGTGGGATGAAGTCACATCATTGACGAAGATGAAGAGCATTTAGCTGACCATCGAATCAATAATTGGAAGCATAAGATGGGAGAAGGCAGTTCATTGTTTAGACTTGACATCATTTATTAATTAGAATGTCAACCCAGTATGGAGGTTCACCCAAAATGGCTGCCTTGAATTATAATGGTTGACTCCCTGTTCACATTTTGGACACATTTCTTGTACGTCCTGTTATGTTAGATGTTAAATTTTGTGTCATTCGTTAAATCTGGTGTTGGGAGTAACTACGGGACGCCGCTGATTGAATTTTGTCAGGTTAAGTGTGAGAACACCTCAAAACACTTTCGCTTTCAAATTCCTGAGTTTTCGGCATGTTGGGGCTCCTCAAAAAGGTGATTCCTATGGCAGAAGAAGAATCTTCTTCTTCTTCTTCTTCTCCTTTCGGCACGTCCCTATTCAGGGGTCGCCACAGCGAGTCAGTAATTTCCATCCGCCCCTGTAAACCGTCCTACCAACTCGCATGGTCGTCTTGGCAAAAGTTTTACGCCGGATGCCATTCCTGACGCAACCCTCCCCATTTCTCCGGGCTTCGGACCGGCACTGGGGAACAGTGCACCCCCAGGGGAGGGCACTGCCCCCCAGCGGCTGGGTTCTCTGGCAGAAGAAGAATAATGAATAAAAATGTCATGAGTGACAGAGGTGGCTTTGATCAAGTATGCAGAATGGAATATAAAACTAGAATATAAGAGAGCGTACCTTTGGGGATTACATGCTAATACATGCTTGTGATTAGAGAGGTCTGCTAGCGCCGCTACTGATGATGTAACTAAGCGTCTTAACTCTGTGGGATGCACTATTATTTCATGTCTCCTTTCGGCATCAAACTGTGCTTCCACGTGCAATTTAGAATGACATCTTGAGAATTGCTTAGTGGGTGTGCAGGAGGATCGCCGCAATCTTTTATGAAGCTTCCGCATGCTCAAGGCTAGAAGGTGGAGAAAAGTCAATTGATGAAAATGAATTGGAAGAGCGCAGAGATGACACTGACATGACATTCACAAAGATGAATCTACATGAAGAGCCCAGTGACGCAATACACAGAATATAACATGAACTGTGAATCGCCGCTCTGTATTCACTAGAAAACTCTTAAAAGGAATCGGAAGATCGTGGAGCTTCTTTGTAAACTGACCGGCTTATGACCATGAGAAAACATTGCGGTTGCAGGACGAGGCGGAGGAGCTGCGGGCGGAAATGGAGGAGCTGCGCGACACCTACATGGACGAGGAGGTCTACCAGCTGCAGGAGC